TAAAATAGCTTTTATTGATCGAAAGTAATCTTAGAAATGAGTTGAACCAATGGCTTTGAAGGTCGTTTCATAAAAGTTATTAAGTTAATTAAAAATATCAATTCCAATCATGCTACTTACCAGAAACTATACACCTTGACACAAATTTGACAAAACTAAATAAATAAAGATGGGGAGGGGGGAAGGAGGGGGGGAGGGGGGAATGATGTAAATCCTGAAAATACAACCGCTTTACTAAGAAGTTACCTCAGTGAATAAGGTCTACTTTTTACATAAGTATACATGTTTAAAAATAAAGCTGATTCTATGTTTGCGCTAATAAGGCTAATTTTTCATTTTATTATTGAATAAAACTTTCCGTAACTAAACACGACACTAGTAACAGTTAATTTTGTACGCAAATACGGTATAACATCTGTAAAAAATCAACATATTGATAGGATTGAGGCTGTAAAACAGAGGGACGCTGTAACGTGGATTTAAGGATATTTTCTATTCAAATAGACTAAAAAGGCTTAGACTGCCAACATCTGTCTTTAGAAGAAGTAAGGAGGGGGCGTATTTATGATAACGAGCAATGTCTGCGAGAACGAAGCAGCGGATTTTCTTTAACTCAAGAGCGACATGTTCTAAACACGGGGCAAACGGACACTTGAAAAAGCTATTTCCGTACCATTGCAAACTAGGAATCAGGAATTTTTTTAGCCCGCTTATCGCCAAATATGGAATAACCTTCTGGAAGAAGTAATCTCGATACAATGGTAATTTTTTTCAAAACAGATTAGATAAATATTTGAAAGATCAATTTTTTTTATAATGATAATGTGTCGGAAATTCAGTAGAAACTAATTCACCTAATGTATTGATATTATTGTATATTTTAGTCGGTGAGATAATTAGGTAGTTTACTTAATTACTACACAGTGCATTCCGTATAATTATGTGATAACTGAGTCTGTAAGATTATGCAACATTGTAGCCTCGTTCCAGTGAAACTCTTTCATTTCTGATGAATGCTCGACCCGCGGGTTTCAAAGAATTTATTCTAAGTGAAGAAATCTAGAGTTCAGGTCCTTGGTGATCAAAGGCTGCTTAGAGATAAACAGTGGTTTGCGAAATTTTCAAACATGAATTAAACAAAATGAGATACATAATGTATTATTTCACAGCTGTAGAGACAGATGAGATTGATAAAGTTTTATTGTTAAGTTTGCGTTTAATGCTCGTTTGTTCAGTGGCAGCAATTTTATTTTTTCACTAACCACAGGCTAGCTTTAACGAAATCTTTGAGCATCCGGGGCCAGATCGACTTTCTTTAGTCGAACGGTAGCGTGCCGGCTAGAGACCGAAGGGTCGCTAGTTCGAACCCCGCGAGGTGTTTTTCATTACTCCTTCCTTTTGTATAAGTACAAAATGTAACTGAGTGCCAAACCGCCGAACGTTGTGACGTCAGATGTTTACTACTTACACATGAATTCCAATCTACCTCGGGTCTAGTTTTCCTGTAATCAGTTACTAGAACGTCGTTTGTTTTTACACCAATCACGCAAATTGTCACTGAAGTTTTCCGTGTGTTGTATCACGATTCAGATATTAAAACAGAGACTTGTTTTGGTATTCAGGTTTATGCCTAACTTTCTTTCATGTTGTTCGTGTTTCGTCTTTAATTTCATCAGCTATAAAAGGGGATGGTACAAAGCACAAGGGAGAAGCAATGTTCTTTGCGGATGGAATTATGTTTAAAATATGCTGCTGGTTATCAAAACATGTCGACAATATCTGATCCGGGACAAAAAAATGAATGAAGCAAAATGCAAGATCATGTAGTGAATTTAAGTGAATAATACTTCTTCGACTATGCAGGCTGAAAACACTTCTAGTCCCCGAGGTTTGCCGCTGACTGCAAATCCTGTCACACATATACTTGTTGTTGTTCTGAAATCCTTAAAAAAAAAGGACAAATGTTTAAGTGTAGCTTAATACAACTTATATTTTCTATCTACACAAGTGCAAGGTACATTTGTATATGAAAATTACGAAATTTATTTAATATCGGGCACCTGTCAATCTAGATTCTCGTGATTTATATAAGTTTAGATACATATGCGACATTACTAGACCCGACAGGTGATTTTGATCACGTGATACTGACACGTGACCGGTGAATGGTGATAACAGAGATGTTAAACAACCTGATACATCAGCGTCTATACACGTGAAACATTGATACGACATCCGACGAATATCTAGTGACTTCTTGTTAGTAACAAATCTATCTCTTTCATCACACAAAATAATTAGTAAGTAAATTTAATCTAATAAAGTAACGAAGTAAATGCCCTTTGTTGGACCAGCTGATTGATGATTGCTAGGTTAAGTCATGTTGTGTTGTACTAAGTTGGGGCATTAACGAGTTGTAAGCAGTAATGTTATGAGAGACAAACTCCTACAATGTCTTGGCTCTCACATTTAGTGATTACTATTGCGTGGTGATTTGGTGATAGTTTTGTCAAATTTTCACAGTTTCACCGAAACAAAAGGGTTGTGTTTTTTTTAAAGAACCAAATCAAAGAAACGGATTGTGGATCTCTGTTTAGTTTAGTCATGACGTCGTTTGACGTAGAAATGTCCATTTCCTACAATATTTGATTTAAAAAATCGGTCATATGATAAAAACATATAACAATTCGTTTCCATATTTATACGTGATATGTAAACCACCAAAGGCTTGCTAAAATGAAAACAACAACAACAACAAAAAAGAAACCAAAACAAAACAAACACAGACATGTTTCATTTAATCACATATCAAGTGGAAACTAGCGTAAATCCTATATATATATAACAGCAGATTACTCGGATTGAAAGATGCAAGGATAAGGAGACAAACTAAAATTAGAGAAAATTATGCAGATTATAAATACTCTTCAAATTAGGATCTTAGCATCAGTGACAAATCCTTCATACATATGTTACCCGTGGTATTTCTGTGATCACGAGGAAGGCTGTTAGGATTTGTTTCCACGTGTCAGAATTTACTTGAATGTGATCCAGTGTCACGTTCTGTGTCCAGAAGCAATCGTGACCTAGAAAATTCAATTATATAAATTAGTTTTATTTTGATTGCAAAACTTTGTCACGTGACACATATTCCTCACGTTTTCATTTCATCAATTGTTCGCTGTAAATGATTACATTGTTTGAGTTCTTTGCTAATTCAGGAAACAACACATGCAGTTACCAATTACTCAGTAATTATGGTATGGTATAAGACAAACTGGCTGCTAACTGTGTATCGTTTTCATTAATTCAAACAGCGGCACCGTTAAAAATATACACATGTTCTTGTCGTTCATTGGAAATGATTGGTCTCACGAACATAACGACAATTCAATTAATGGGCTGATGCAACTCTCCAGCCAGATTGAGATATTTCATTGGATCACGTTTGGTTTTCCTTAGCATCAACGACGAGTTCTAGAAGGACGAAACAGTGGTATGATGTAAGATCACTGACGAGTCCTAGAAGGACGAAACAGTGGTATGATGTAAGATCACTGACGAGTCCTAGAAGGACGAAACAACTGTATGATGTAGCAGTACTGCTGAATCCTAGAAGGACGAAACAGGTGTATGATGTAACATCACTGACGAGTCCTAGAAGGACGAAACAGATGTATGATGTAGCATCACTGACGAGTCCTAGAAGGAAGAAACAGCTGTATGATGTAGCAGTACTGGCGAATCCTAGAAGGACGAAACAGCTGTATGATGTAACATCACTGACGAGTTCTAGAAGGACGAAACAGCTGTATGATGTAGCAGTACTGGCGAATCCTAGAAGGACGAAACAGCTGTATGATGTAACATCACTGACGAGTTCTAGAAGGACGAAACAGTGGTATGATGTAACATCACTGACGAGTCCTAGAAGGACGAAACAACTGTATGATGTAGCAGTACTGATGAGTCCTAGAAGGACGAAACAGCTGTATGATGTTGTAACATCACTGACGAGTCCTAGAAGGACGGAACAGCTGTATGATGTAACATCACTGACGAGTCATAGAAGGACGAAACAGATGTATGATGTAGCAGTACTGACGAGTAATAGAAGGACGAAACAGTGGTATGGTGTAATATCACTGACGAGTCCTAGCAGGACGAAACAACTGTATGATGTAGCAGTACTGACGAATTCTAGAAGTACGAAACAGCTATATGATGTTAACATCACTGACGAGTCCTAGAAGGACGAAACAGATGTATGATGTAGCATCAATGACGAGTCCTAGAAGGACGAAACAGCTGTATGATATAACAGTACTGACGAGTCCTAGAAGGACGAAACAGTTGTATGATGTAGCAGTACTGACGAATTCTAGAAGTACGAAACAGTTATATGATGTTAACATCACTGACGAGTCCTAGAAGGACGAAACAAATGTATGATGTATCATCACTGACGAGTCCTAGAAGGACGAAACAGCTGTATGCTATAACAGTACTGACGAGTCCTAGATGGACGAAACACTTGTATGATATAGCAGTACTGACGAATCCTAGAAGGACGAAACAGCTGTATAATGTATCATTACTGACAAGTCCTAGAAGAACGAAACATATATATGATGTAGCGTATCACTGACGAATCCTAGAAAGATACAGATTATTTGGCTCTGCCGTACCTAATTTTGGTTTACTAAATACAATCTTTATCGGGTTATAGTGCCTGTAGTCCATTTTAGATCAATATGTACTTATTTGTTGGTTTTTTGTTGAGGATTGGGGGGTTGTTTGGTTAGTTGTGTATGTATGTGTATGTGTGTATGTATGTGTATGTGTGTGTATGTGTGTGTGTGTGTACGATATCTGTACAAGGGTATTATTTGTTTTCTTTGCTTGTTTTTTTCTTTCTTCTTTTTGTTTTGTTTTTGTTTTGATTTGTATTTTTGTTTTTCATAAGAAATATGCCTTTGAAATTTTTTTCTTTGTTTTAGGTACTCCGGAATAACCTTGCGAGATAGCAATGGGGCCCTGGTACCAATATCCCCGTCTATGGCTAAAAACGCTCCATCGTAAGTGTGTTTTATTGGGATCTATAAATAGAATTACATTAAAACCCGGATGTTCGATTCCGGGTCAATATTGTCATACATAATAGGTAGATACAGGTAGATATATATGCATTCTGATCTCCCCGAGTTACCTCCCTTCCTTTCACTCTGTCTAAACAGCTATAAGTGTATGCATGTACACGAAGCTCTGGAAACATTCTATCCGTGGAAAGTTTATTAATTGCTCTATAGTTTATAAAATGTTTTAGTGTTTTAGAAGAGATTTTAATTCAATTTTTAGATCTCAGCAACCGGATCTCCATTTCATGTTTTTTCAGTTGGTATTGTGTGTCTCCTTGTTTGGTGTCTCTTTGTATTGAGGCATTTCATTGGTTACTTGACCTCTGTTTGACCTTGAAACAGAAGGCAAACAGATTCAGTATGATTGAGGACACATGTGCCTGCCTCAACAAGAAATAGTATGGCACGGTTTCAGGTCATTTTGACCTACATTTTGACCTTTGAAAGAGACCATGTTTGTATTGACTCCATCACCTACATATACTTATCACTGGAACCGTTTGGTTTATGGGTCACTCTGACCTACATTTTGACCTTTGAAAAAAAAAATGTCTGTCTTAACACTACTGGAACTGTATGTGTACCACTGGTGAGGCCTTGTACAATGTATCATGCATCAAATTAGGTCATCTTGACCTACATTTAATCTATGATATATAAGGTCTTTTACTGCATGTATTCAGCGATTGATTTTGATATTATCTATAATATTAGCTTTCATCTTTTCTTACAGATCGCCTTACGAAGTGAATATCACCTCACCTACATTAGCGAATAGTAAGTATTGTATTCTCGGGAGGTTTTTTTTAAAAAACAGAATAAGTATTAGGTCTGTATCGTTGTCACAACGGCGGGCTATGATCAACAAAGTGATAATTGTCCTCCTAGGTAAAACGGGTCTTATTTCACTAGATTTAAATTTACGTCATTGGAATGTTTGCATCTTTTATGTGAATAAATTAACAGAATGAGGCACAATGATAGCATACATGCGTCAGGTCATTTTGATAACACTTTAAAATTTCTTGTTGATAAACGTATCCTGTAAAATGATTTACCTCATTGTGGTGTGACTTGTTTAAAAAAATCGATTTCTTTGTTTGAAACATCAATTACTCTTTGGTCGTTATTTAGTGTATACATTAGTATACAGTAATTACCGGAGATGTTTCTTCTATTATCACAGAATTTACTTCTTCTATGAAAAAAATATTTTTCGCAGAAAACATTTTTTTTGTACACATATTGTATACATTGCTCTCCCAACACACATTTCAAATTTTGAATTTCATCCTCTAGTTAACAGATAAATTCAATTCCTTCACTAACAGTTATACGTAAATAGATAAATACACTTCATTTATTTTACAACAAAACAAGTTTATTATATGAAGCGTGGGAGGTAACTAGAATAACCGACCACTTCATTCATACGTAAAAAAAGATAAAATATTGCATGAACATTTCTGATCATGTGAATATTACCTACACTGTACTTATATACTTGCTACTCTGCTACTGGTTCAGTTAAGTAGACCACTGCATTCCAATACATAATCGGTAGAGGCGACTAATGTGAATCCAGACGGTGAAAAAACCACTGATGAATGTAACTGTACATGAGACATCAGCAGTGACATGAACAGGGACCAGTGACGTCATCAATAATGTCTACCACTTACTGTGACATCAACAATAACGTGAACAGAAACCTGTGACGTTATAGATAATGTATGTTACAGACATGTGACATCAGCAATGACGTCAACACAGACCACTGACGTTATCAATGATATTCGCAAAGATAAGTGACGTCATCTGTTATTTCCATTCCGATACATATCATTATATATATAACGTTTATATATTATTTAGATACTGAATATGAAATGTGTTTTCCCCAGCAGGCGATGGCGAAGCTGTTAAGCAGGTGTTAACACAAGTGACCGAACAGTTCAGCAAGTAAGTGATGATAATATTTTATGACGTCATTAACTGCACTCCCGCGCACGCAACACAGTCAGTATGATATTGTTATATTGTACGTTATCGACACTCACGTGCACACTGTAAAACAGTGAGTATAACTTATCAATGAGTTTGCAATATGACTAAAATTCTATTATAAGATTTATTGCTATGACGTCATAAAATAAACTGTGTTTGTATGATGTGTTGTTCTAGTATTGTTGCCAGGTCGTATATACCACTTTGTATGTGCTGGTCATTAGTCCCTCATGACACAAATCTAATGAGCAACATTCAACTCTGATTTGTTAGGAGACAACATCAAATTGCCTTTCTGCAATTGAATATATGTATATATGTGTACTTCTTTGATATTCTGGAACTATCTGACCTTTGACCTGTATGACTTATGTCAACGTTTACTGTATTTAATTGTACTAATCATAAAGAGGAATAAGGTTCCTATAAGTTATGCATAACGTATTTGACATTGTCTTGATTGAAGACTGATTTTTTTTTTTTTATTATGCACCTGCCTCATATATTTTGCCGTATTCGGCAGTGACGGAGAACAGCGCGTGCGTTAATTCGACGGAATTATTTTCTGATTTAATTAATCGTTTCATTTAAAAGTAAAAAAATAATATTTTTAATAAGCTATTTTGTTTATTGAAGTCTTGGTTGAAGTCTGTTTTCGAAAATTCGGAAAATTGCTTTTTACGTAACAATTGAAGTGTAGAACTATGTTTCCGCGCGGGGCAATTATTTTGACATGCGGTATCAGGCACATTTCAGCGTAACCTCAACGTCAGGTAAACGAAGATTAAACAGCCCTAACTAGCCGTTGAAATTTTGGTAGGCTGAATTTTCAATAAGTGTTTAGGATATAAAGAATACATGGTAAATGTCTTAAAATATAAGCTAAATAAATGTCACATTATCACGCTATTTATAGGATGACACATGTCAGCAGACTATTTATAGGATGACACATGTCAGCAGACTATTTATAGGATGACACATGTCAGCAGGCTATTTATAGGATGACACATGTCAGCAGGCTATTTATAGGATGACACATGTCAGCAGGCTATTTATAGGATGACACATGTCAGTAGGCTTTTTATAGGATGACACATGTCAGTAGGCTTTTTATAGGATGACACATGTCAGCAGGCTTCTTACAGAGTGACTTATGTAAAGGTGATTTTTATAGGATGGCAAGAAATAAGGGCCATATGTGACCCGTGACTATTTTAAGATTACATACAGATATATATTTTGATGACACCTGTCGTGAGGTCATTGCAAGGAGACATAAGATAAAACGACTTATGTGACACACAACACGTGATTATTCATAAGATACAATATATCAATAAACTGACATGTGTCAAATAAAGGCAGAGTTGACACCTGTCGCGGGACTACTTAAAATGACTTATAATGTGTTCACCGGACGAATTTTCTATACAAAAAAAAATGGCAGATTAGATATCAGATGTGAATATGCCTAAATTCCGAAATATTATCAGTTCGGAATTTTACTATATGAAGCAGTTACATAGCTTTTAGACATTACAACCTCTACATTTTAGCTATCAAAATGAGGATATGACCAGGTAAAGTAGTCCCCTCACCTTCCTCATACCCACCTAACGCATGTGTCCGTCAGTAGATTGATTGGCGGGAAAATGATGTCATCGTTTTTAATTTCTATATATTTTAATGCTTAGTTTTTTCACAGTGTAATTAATCTAGCATACAATAATTGTTTACAGTGCTTTCCTTAGGAAAACAACTGCACGAAATGACGAATCATCGGTATTTTAGTGAAAAAATCCATTTATCAATATAAAGGAACACACTTAGTTGATATGACTCAGCTCACGTAATATATTAAAACAGAACGTTATTTTAGAAATAATTAACAACTAAAACTAATTAAATTTTATATTAATGAGTCATAATCTAAATGGTACTTACAAATGAATTTTTGTACGAATATCTAATTAATTAAAATGAAAACGATGGTTTTTTAGACGAAATCCAGATGATGTATTCAAAATGAAAATTGAATTTAAAAAAATCTTTTTCAAACCAAAATTCACATTTATTTTTATACTTAAGGCTTAATATATAGATGAAAGTAGAGAGAATAATCCTGACCATTGCATGCTGCCTACACGCAAACACCAAGCTTTCTTTCCGCGGTTTGATATATTCTAACATTATTGAGCACGCATGCACCGATGCTAACATCTGTTTTTGTAGTAGAATTTGATTGGCGATCATGGCTGACTTTAGAGTTGTGATTAATTGATAATAATGATAATAATAATGATATTCACAAATGAAAGTTTAAAGATGGCACAAGTTGCCAATATTAGATTTATGTTTCTAAAGAATTGATTTAACAGACGTGTAAATTCAATTTTTTTTAATGGCAACAGTTGCTGAATTTTCAGTGAAATGTAAAAAAAAATGATTAAAAAAACAGAACAAAACAAATACAAAAAGGTACAAATTAATGATTCGTCATATTTCTTTAAATTGTTCTAATGAAAAGAGGTTTTAGTAATGATCTGTTACAGTGAGGGCTGTTTTAGGATTTGCGTGTGCCCTAATTCCAGTTATCCATATAATCTTGCCTATACGATATTGTGAAAGGCAATAGGGCGTAACATTGTGCAACGATTCCAGATTCACGTTAAAACTCACTACTATAGATTGTAGCTTGGGAACAAAAGGTTACCGTATGTATCATAATACATAGAAACACTCCATTTGTTTGTTGACTGTAGGTTTTATATATTTAAAATCGAAGCAAATACAGAACAGACACACCGATTTACATCACTATGTAAGGGGATGTGAGTTACACAACAGTTACTGTATACCAAGATCTTACAGCCAATCAATGTATTTATATTTTTAGAAAATATTATTTCTTTAGTTTATTTATAAAAGGTCAATTGAGCTACGTTTTTTTCTGTAGGAATAACTAATTGTTGTTATGAAAAGCCAACACAATAAGATATTAAAATATTAAAAGAATTTCCACAAATACAATAAAACACATATTTTTTCTGTGAACTATGAACGATAAGTAAATATATAACACATCATGCAATGGATTTTCTCACTGTTGTTATACACCAATGAACTACAATTAGATACCGTAGATTGTATGCACCGATTTCTTCCTGTAGCTGTGATACGTGTGTAACGAATATCATTTTTCTTAGTGACCTCAACTTTCTATGTTTTTAGGGAAAAAAGCCATATATTTAGCTCTATAGGTTCATCAAGGCAGCGTTCATGGAACATGTGAATATTCGTGAGTGTGGTTGATATATTTAGAAGATTATTAATTTACATATTTGTAACTAAGGAAACGATATGTTAAAAGCATAAGCATTAAATATTGATATAAAACTACATCAGTGATTAAGTTATCATAGAAATTTGTAAAGATTATTAATAATTGTGAAACTACGGCCGAAATCTAGTTATGTGTTTTAAGTATATACATTTATCATTGTGAAACTAGATCAGAGACTTAGAGATCTGTTTGTAACTATAGACCTTTATCATTGTGAAACTAGGTCAGAGACTTAGAGATCTGTTTGTAACTTCGGACTTTTACCATTGTGAAACTAGGTCAGAGACTTAGTGATCTGTTTGTAACTATAGACCTTTATCATTGTGAAACTAGGTCAGAGACTTAGTGATCTGTTTATAATTATAGACCTTTATCATTGTGAAACTGGGTCAGAGACTTAGAGATCTGTTTGTAACTATAGACCTTTATCATTGTGAAACTAGGTCAGAGAGTTAGTGATCTGTTTATAATTATAGACCTTTATCATTGTGAAACTAGGTCAGAGAGTTAGAGATCTGTTTATAATTATAGACCTTTATCATTGTGAAACTAGGTCAGAGAGTTAGTGATCTGTTTATAATTATAGACCTTTATCATTGTGAAAGTAGGTCAGAGAGTTAGAGATCTGTTTGTCAGTATTGACAATTGCAATTGTTTAAGTATGACAGTGATTGCTTTATCTGAGAGAATTTTAACGATAACCGATATAAGATATTAATATGTTCAGGATAATTTAAGTCAAACAGAAAATAAAGAAAACATACTCGTACCCATGAGAAGAGCCTTAAATTTCGCTTCTCCCACCTTTTGTAGTAAATAAATTAATATATCTACATAACATTTCTTATGTGAAAAAAACATATCAACTGTAGACACATGTGAAGAGGTTTTAATTTCTATTTTTAATGACAATGATTATAAATGATTATAGCGAAATTTATTCTCCCACGAATATTTTTAACGATATAGTAAATACTATAGGGTATGATATTGATTGCTAGTGTAGACTGGTATCATTAGTCTATCACCTAAACCTCTTGTTGTGACCTGTAGAGTAGATAAAGAAGATGATAATTGACAGTTATCTCACACTAAACATACCGTTACGATATGTAATACAAGTATACAGTCGATCCTCGTTATCTCGAATTCGAATAACTCGAAGGCCCCGTTTAACTCGAAGTATTCCGTCTGTCCCGACCAACCTTTTCATCAATCATTCGATCTCACTTAAATCGAATTCTCGGATAATGGAAGTTTGTAAACGGTCCAGCCGACTTTGAGATAACGAAGTTCGACTGCATATTACGCGTGTTTCAATTCCACGTAAGTTTGTTGAAGGAGTAGAAAAGAGTTCCTAAAATGAAAAATCAAAGACGAGTTTCATAGATCAGAGGTAAAGAGACTTCTAAGGTCCTTATATCACGTGATTAATTGTTTTGGGAAATATTGCTGAAAACGATCTCGTCAAAGTCATTTCGAATCGGTATTTACATAGTCTCAATTGTAACATTGCAATTTTATCTCCAAGTGTGTGATGTTCTCTCATTGATATTAAGTTTATTTATTTTTGTGAAATTATCAAGCATAAACTTATCATTATGTGGTTATATTTACTGAATAACATGTCAGTCATGTGATAAAGGGTTGGTGGCACAGCTGCTTGGTAGTTGGAGTCATTTAAGTTCTGAACATAAAAAAAGCAAATGCATTTAAATTTAATTTCGCAAAATAATTAATACGATTTGTACAATTTTACGAATGATGACATCAAAAATAAACACTGACAGGGTTAAGCACATTGTTCGTGAAAGATTGCGGTAATTTGATCAAATGTACAGGTTACACTGATTCTAAGAGTTATAACAGAACAATGGAAAAAATTGGTAGTAAAGACAATGTAACTGTTGAATTTCTTTCACACCGTGTTTCTGTGTTATCACTCTAACCATTCACCTCCTACGCTTCAAAATTTAGACCCTTAGCATCATTGACGAGTCCTAGAAAGGCGAAACAGTTGTAGGATGTATCATCACTGACGAGTCCTAGAAAGGCGAAAAAGTTGTAGGATGCAGTTTTATTAATTATTTGGCTCTACTGAACCAATTAATTAATTTGTATTAAAATGTGCTATTAACTTTTGTGTCCCTTGTAAAGTATTTTCATTACTATTGAATCATATGATATGTTTGTAAGAAAGTCATCGAATTTTCATAATTTATTTTTTTGCCTATTCCACAGCAGATTTTAACATTTTCTCTAACACTACACAGATGATAACCTCTTTGTAAGCTTCACGTAAACGAACAATCTCTAACCAGATTCAATGGGATAAAGCATTATACATTATATCTTCTCACCAGTCAAAATCTGCAAAATATGAAATATGTTCTAAAATATGGTTGATCTTATAAAAAAATGTCTGAGTTTTTAGGTCATCTTACCTAATTCTGTACCGGAAATCCTATTCTCACACATCAGTACTCGTTGGTAGCTTACATATTACTATGTAGAAAAACACTTCATATTGCTTAGTGTCATATTTACCCCTGTTTGTCAGTTAAGTGTGGGATTGTTGTATATCATAAAACGTTTCTATGAATTTTTGGTAAGGAGGGTACAAAATGCTGCTTCATTGATAAAAAAGTTGTTAGGTCTCTTTAAGACAGCGCATATGCGATCACTTAGTTGTATTTTTAGTGAAGTAGGAACCTGACAATGGAAAAGTAGTTTACCTATAAAGGTAAGGGTAACAGTTGTTAATTATGTTGATAGTGTGTGTTTTGTAGATGTGTAGCTGACCTATTTAATTACATAGCAACTCTTTTGTGTGATATAAATGCAGTAATGTCATTGATTTTATAATCATTTGTTATCTAATGAAGATAGTTCCTATTTTTATCAATACAGCCGTTGTAATATATATTGAACAGCGCGCTTAAGTGTAAATAAAAAAAAGTTAATGATACCTTTCAGACATTTGTGTTTAGAACATTCGGTAGTTGATAAATTCCTTTCGTGTGATGTGATAAACTTCTTGATACTAAACATTTAAAGTTTATAAATCTTGAAAACGATTCAGGTGAAAAATAAAATGTACTCATGGCCATACGTTAGGGAACTCCAATACCTGAACTTAAGCTAAATTGTGTTTACTGCATTTAAAAGAAAATATTAAGTGACAACCCAGCAGACATCTTACAAAAATATGCACAGTTGGTAGATTTTTTTTACAGAATTGGAAGAGTTGCGTCATTGTTAAAAAGTGTGCTCACAAAAAGACATTCCTTAAGCCTAGGAAAGAAGTCTGACTTTAACTGTCTTCTATTACAGATACGTCATCAATTACCAAAATATGTTACTTGATCAAGAAGATTAAATAAATCAAAGAGTTACAATTCTTGTGTCCATCAGCTCATACAATTAACCAGACGCCGAAGCTTTTTCTGAGGAAACCTCTGACACTCCTGAATCAATGTAGCCCATAATTTCCCAATTTTGTGATTTTTTTTATACCGTTCATTGAGTTTAATTGTCCCCAACATTCTCAGTTGGGTTCTTGTCTGCCAGACCTGGAACGCTCATTAAAATGCCCAGTAAACTTGCAGCTACTTGCCTGTATGTCATACCACTTCGAACCATTTCAGAAATTTGCAATCTTTCATTTCCGATGTGCCATTTTCAAATACAGTATGATCTCTTGTAAGATTTACACATAATATACATTGCCTTATTTGGAAAAGTAAATTTATGTTTTCTTAGAGTACAAAGTACCCCAGTTTAATCCGGGGATTAGTTAGATGTATCGCTTAGTGGCATACAACACCAAACCTAAAAGGGGACCCAGTCAGTAGTAAAAGTTTTATTTTTACTAAAAGGAATATCTGATTTGATAAATATTTTCACACTGTAATTGATAGTCCCTTACTTATGGCCATGTTTATGTGTCGATGTTGAATCAACTTTACTCTAGTTTGAACCTAGAGATGCTTTTTAATAAATGTGATATGGAATAATTTTTCTTTTAAATACACTTTTATCTGTACATCTTTCTTCAGAAATCAAAGGGATGCAATTGGGTACTGTAAAAACAATTTTATAATAAAAGATCTCGTCAATATAGAAAATAAATAAAAAAATTAAACCGCGTCATGTTTCCAAAGTGTCAAGGGATAATAGAAAACGGAAAAGTGTGGTTAATGAAACTTATTGAAGATATAGGACTATTAAAAATATGGCGGATCTTGTGTTTTTGATTAGGTTTGATTTGATGAAAACGATGCGTTCTACCTTGTATCTTGTTCAGAAATTTGTGTTTGGAAAACAGGATATATGTAAAATCCTTAATTCTAACGTACGGTTTGATGGTCATTTAAAAATACACACATAAATACAGCCTTGTTAACACTTTCATCAGTGTTTTAATAAGAATTTTGACAATTCTTCTTAGTTCAACAGGATGTTTATAAAGCTGATATCATGCTTATTAATCTATGACTAGAATTCACTAATTGATGACGTAAAGAACATGTTTCGATGACGCTTAAAGAAAACAGGTTAATTGCCTGAGCACGTGACTGCCGATAAAGCCCAAACGGAACTATTTAGTAAGACATGTTTATATGATGAATCAAATGTCAATCATATGGCCTTGATATGAGATTAATACATTTTTATTTATAGAGTTTTTGATGAATAGAACTAATAACGGTCATTCTTCAGGGGCATTTAATTTTTAAAACGTGCCGCAGTTTTTAAGATGTTTTCAATAATTTTCATAGTTTGAAACAACCACATGTACTTATTTTCACCTGCATTTCCATAGTATAACACGTTTGATTATTTAAGTAATTAAAAATGAATAATTTATCATTTTTAGAGTATTTAAAGTGGAAGAGATGCGATCTGAGCTGACGAATCGTATCACCCTGCTGGAACGGCGTCTTGAACGTAAGTAGACAAGACAATCTTCTACATAACTTTGTAAAAAACATTAAACGTACCTTGATTTTCGAATTTATGGAACTATTCCATCTTCCTATCCAGGTTTAGACATTCAATTCCTGCAATGATTTATTTTCTTAAGTTGCTTCCTGTGTTTCAAAATTCAGGCCTTACATCAGTGACGTGTTCCAGAAGGACGAAACAGTTATATGATACAGTTAAATTCATTTTTAATTTTACTGTATGTAATTCTAGGTTTGTATTAAAAGGCGCTATTCATTTGTAGGTTATTTATGAATCTTTAAATCTGAAGTTTGTAACTAACATTTATGTGTGTTAGACCGCTGCTGTATTAGGTGTATGTTCTTTGAATCAGAAGTTTACAGTGCATTAGGGTATACGAGATAAATGTAAAAACATTAATCAAAGTCAAGTTATTCATGGAGTACTTGGAGAGAGAGTATAGCCACGGCCCCCGTAGAATGCAAGTCCAGTTGATTCCTTACCATCTCTTAAAGAACGTACGCATTGCTAGCACGGCAATCGATATTCTTTACAGAAATACGGGAGCGATATCCTTGATCTTTGACGTAAACACATATTTGTTTACGGTTGTCTCTAAAAGAAAAACAAACACTTTAATGACTTTATTTGGCGGAAATATTATTTATACTGAGTTGCTTAAAACAGGAACATATGTATCAGATGCATCTCTCAGACACAATCAATAAACTTTGATGGATCGAAGTTAGAATGCGGTGATAAGTTTCTTTATATTATATGCATGAACATATGTTTCATACTTTCTTATAATGCATATTTTTCATGTTTCAAAATGTCTTATTTACTTGAAACCCCAATTGAATATGTGTCATTTTCTAATATCGAGAAAAACTTACTTTTCTATTAAAAATTTTCAGTGATTTTGAATATAGATAATTGTCATATCTGATCTAAAATTATAACGTACTAATTTTTTTGACACAATTAGAACAATTAAGTTTATGATATTAATAGTTGACTTACTTACAACACATCTAAATACAAATTAGGTGCAGTATGGTAGCATTGAACGTGAAAAATTGTACAAGTGAAAATAAAATTTTGAATAAAAATTTGTATCTAGATACAAAATGTCTAAATTATAAACTAAACTGATACTGCTGTTTTGTCCTGAAATTCGTCAGTGATGCTTGGAGTCTGATTTTCTAATCTAAGGCGGCGACTGCGGAAAATCCAAAGTGGTCGACGGATATATCAAAATCGATGGGTAGTTGAACTGGCCCTATATTTCAATAAACGTAATTATTTTGATATATATGGAAATATAAGTAAAAAATTCCAATGATATGACACAAAAATGTCACTTTATTTGGAAGATAAGGGTATTAGTTTGCTGAAAGTTTGAAGCTTTCTTTCTGTTTTTTTGTTTCACCCAAATCAGTCCTACAATGAGTTCTAACTTTGCAACTAAGTATGCCATTATTATTTCAGTCGAGGGACTGAAAGCTGTCGAAATTGAAAAATGTAAGCGGGATATATCTGATATCAAAAATCAAATGTGGACTTCACAAAAGAAAGTCATCGACTTCAACAATATGAGGTAAACATAAGAGAAAGCGATAATAGCTCATAAATCTACTTTTATCTGAGATTATAAATATCATATTTTTTATTAAAAAATTGTTAGTATTAATTTAAACACAAATGAAAAATATAAATAAATTTTATCCTTGTTTTTGAATATCCAATGTTACAGCAATTGATATTAAATTTGTTTTTTTACATACGTTAAACAGCGTAAACCTTTTACATTTTTAGACATGTCTACCAATTTATTTTTCACCTGTATATCAAACTGTAATTCTATTTTTTGAGGTTTTCCCTGCTTTAGGGAACACTGATCTATTCTTGTAGAATATCTTTCTCATTTTGTTTCATTAATCATTTCCCGATCCCTTAGAAGTGTGTATTTTTATTCTATTTTGTTAAATCATTTAAAATCATTCCTACAGTTTTAAAGATTGATTTTTGTTCCTTTCATCAAACTTATTCCCAGTGAAAAAGAATCGTCTCTCGAACTTTCCGGATGTTTTAGGAATCCGTCCTCTCCATCATTTACAAAGTTCATCCTCCATTTGTGTGTCTTTTCCACAGATCTAACCTCGATTTTGATTAGTGTTAACAGTTTTAATTCAGCCAATCCACACATTTGTTCCATTATATTCTACATGTTTGTAATTCCTTGCCTTTCCTTAATAACTTTGTTTAAACTTTATTCGATATTTTCCGTTTGGTTTTGATTGCCTTTTTCTTTTTTCACTCCCCTTTAATTTGATTCACGAAACTTTCCAAACCTCGAAGACCTACCTATTTAACTGACTCTTATAGTGCGTTGAGCGACGAAAGGAAAATCAGCTTGAAGCGAGACGTACCGTCCTACCCTAAGGTAAGTCTTTACACATCAACTTCAGTTAATTTTAGTCGTTTGGTTGTCTTTGATGCAAATCTTTAATCAATGTATAATTATATTGGTGATCTTATATGAAATAAAACTACTTGATAATCATTATAAACAAGGTATGAAAATGTAATTTCTTGGATCAAAAAATGCAATGCACTTCATACAATCATATTATGATAATAAGATGATTTCTTTGACAATAACTCTGGCGATCGTTTAGGTCCGTATACCTCTTGAATGATTTAAAACGTTAATTAAAAATAACTCGCTGTTGAATATCGTAGAACAGTTTTTTTCCAGATATAATTTCAAGATATCCTTAACAAATTCTGAACACCAATATTGAAAACGTGAAATATACACTTGTATTCCCTTTGCGCATTTCAATGTACATTTCACTTTGGAAAATGGAATTGCCTCGAAAAAATAACGATATCGCGTCATTCTGATGTCTTTAAGGGAAATGATTCTCCTGGTCTATATATTGATTTTCTAATATGAATTTCTATTTTTTTTTCAAAAGTACACACTTTCTCAAGAAACTGTGAATTATCTGAAGCAGCCGACTTTCGATATATGGCATTGGGAACCCAATGAGGTAAGTGTACATCGACAGATGTTGTCATTATCATGAATGGCTCGGATTGAAATGGCAGGACACTGAACTGGAGTAAATCAATGGAAAATATTGTAGCACTAGGGATAATGAAGCTATTAATATGTTTATTTGAAGTGCAGTCTTGACGATGTATTGAAGTAATTACTGATCTATTTAAAGGTTAAAATCGCAGATTTATTTTGAATTGCCCTACTTCTTTCGCCTGTGACGCATGTCTGCAGTGATATTATTATCCTGTAAATCTCTTATCAAGCAAATATAGGCTTCAAACCAAACATCATTGACATCTTCACAGGAAATTAGGAGAGTTTGTAGCAACTTAGTTTTTTTAAAATGTTTAAGTCGCATTAGCACATCGCTTCTAAATACGGTATCTGATTGAGACTACAAAGAAAATGACGACATACCAATCGAAGACAAGTTCGATAAACAAGGTTTAAACACGGAGTCTCTAGAAGAGTTGAGTAAAATTAAAAGACAAAGGCTTCATGAGTCTATTTAGGTCCTAATTCAACTTTTTTGCGATGACCAATTTTTCTTATTATATAAAAATCAAATCAAAGTATTGATATAATTGGTGTGTATACTAAAACACCAAATAAGGTATTGGTACAATTGGTATATATTAAAAACACCAAATAAAGTATTGATATAATTGGTGTGTATACTAAAAACGCCAAATAAGGCATTGATACAATTGGCATGTATACTAAAATCACCAAATAAAGTATTGATACAATTGGCATGAATACTTAAAACACCAAGTAAGGTATTGATACAATTGACGTGTATACTAAAATCACCAAATAAGGTATTGATACAATTGGCATGAATACTTAAAACAACAAGTAAGGTATTTATACAATAGGCATGAATACTTAAAACACCAAATAAGGTATTGATACAATTGGCATGTATACTTAAAACACCAAATAAGGTATTGGTACAGTTGGCATGTATTCTTAAAACACCAAATAAGGTATTGATATAATTGGCATGTATACTTAAAACACCAAATAAGGTATTGGTACAGTTGGCATGTATTCTTAAAACACCAAATAAGGTATTGATATAATTGGCATGTATACTTAAAACACCAAATAAGGTATTGATATAATTGCCATGAATACTTAAAACACAAAATAAGGTATTGGTATGTATTCTAAAGATGATTTTTTAGATGATTGTGAAGCTAATAACATATACACATATATATCCTCTCGTTATTATCAAGTTGTTGGTATCTTTACAGTATATATATATACGACAACAGATTAATTTCACTTGATTGCAGTCTTTCATATCGATCCATTTGGATGTTGATTAATTGGCTCAAGATTGGTTTGGTCCTGTATGTCCAATCTACAAGTTTATTTACTTAAAGGCAATCTAATTTCACCTGTGTACTGTTGATGCTTGTCCAAGGATCGGCACGGTAATTGCATTCTGTATTTGTGGGAATTGAGGTCAAAGTAAGACCAGAACCTTAATTTCGTGTTAATACTTACTATTGGAATGAAGAGTATCGGACTCAAACATTTCTTTTTTCCGATATGATGGAGTGATTCATCGAGTTGGTCTTGAATAGAGTTAGAAGATTTTGACGCAAAAATAGGTTCGTTTCAAGACCAATTTCATCGTCATGTAATGTCCACTTTAGCATTGCTTGATCGTTACAAAATAGAAGGCTCTTCGAAGTAATACTAGTTCTGAAATATTCTGAAATAAGACTTGGAATGTGAATTAAAATGTGAAAAATAAAAACAATGAAAATAAGACCATGTGTCCCAAGGGGACACAATCTTCTCCAAAAGCGACACCCCCAATACCGCCATATACTACATATACTTGTAGGTCAATCCAAACAATAATCTTGTGATGATGTAGTTCTTGTTAAGAAAAGGATGATTTTTATTCAGGAAATATAAAAAATCATAAAACTGTGTAAAGCTCTCCGTTATTGATAACAAAATATATAAATATTTTATTTGAATAATACCTACAAAAGTTACGAACAGAAATGAGATATTTTGCCGCCACTTTGTAAAGAATGAACCATCACTTCGCCAATGTGTTAGTCCGTCCATGCGTACGCAGCGTCTTTGCGTCCGTCGTTGCCTCCATAGCATAACCTTGTTTACCTGTCACCTTCAGAACTGCTGAGGAGATTTCATATTCACTCCATAGCATCACATAATCAAGTTTTATAAATTATTGAATTCTTCCTTTAAATATCTAGGTCATGAGAAGGTATTTTTTTTCAGAGTAAAACCTTTGAACTGAGTTATGAATTTAGAATTAAAGGTCACCGTTATAAAATCAGTTTCTTGGTCTTTTGGCCACGTTGAATACTTGGACTGTGATAGTTTTTTATACCAGCATATTGTATTTGAATAGTAATTTCAATTTTTTGTGTAGATGTTAAGTCTCCTGGAACATATGTACCATGAGCTCGGGTTGGTGACGGAATTCAACATCAATCCTATCACGCTGAAACGCTGGCTGGTAAGTGAGTTGTAAAGGTTTTTGATGGAATTCAACATCAATCCTATCACACTGAAACGCTGGCAGGTAAGTGATTTGTAAATATTGGTGACGGAATTCAACATCAATCCTACCACACTGAAACGCTGGCTGGTTATTTGTAAAGGTTTGTGATGGAATTCAACATCATTTCTATCACACTGAAACGCTGGCTGGTAAGTGATTTGTTTATTTTGATAATTAAGTTCTTAATTTTGACTGGTAAGTAGTATGTAAAGTTTGACTGGTAAAATGTTTGTAAACGTGTGACTGGTGTGTTTTACAAAAAAAAAAAAAAAAAAACCACTGTTTAAAAGGAAATTAATTCTGTCTTGTAAATAATGTGGACATTCTAAATGGTAAGCTTGGAGTAAACACTGATTTGTAACCAATTTGCTCACATTGCCAACCATAACGTGCTACACATTATTTGTTTCTGGCTTCGTGCACGTGATGTAAGTAAAGCACACTTACATCAGTCTTATAAATAGCACAAGTAACTTCTATAAAAGATTTCGATACGCCTTGATCGATTCAATATATATTCAACATCAACTGCGTGGAATATCACTTTGAGGTGAAAAATATGTATAAGAAAACTTTTCTTTTAATATTGATGTTTGACGGTAAATAGGACATAACTGAATGTAAGATTAACTCCAATATTTTTGATATTTGTGTTTTTCCACAGAATGCATATGACCTAATTCATTATCTATATGTGTAGTTGTAAGCTGAAAAATGCTCTTTATATGACGTTTTGAAACAAAAATTTGTGGCGGACAACATTTTTTGTAGTTGACGGCGTGATTTGGTTCATAACGTCAAAATATTTAACGTTTTATCGCGTGTAAGGTCAATCTTTTAAATAGAACTAGAAGCCTTTTGTAGATTTCAAGTAAATTTTGCATGAAGTATCACCAGAAATCACATATAAAAAATTCGTGGGTGAATTCCGACTTGCTGGACCCAAGAAACCAATAGTTAAGCTTGTTTCTCATTGTAAAAAATACTGTCTATTTGGGCAAGACTTGCATGCGTTAAAGCAATGGAAATCTGTTTTTAATCATGACATAAAGTTCCTCTTTTTATCCTTGTATATTTAAATCTTTAAAAAGTTAAATACTACAAGATTGTTAAATATTTATTTAAGTCCTTTTTCAAAAGTTTCATGTTTTGGCAGATATGCACTTTCAAGCTTGTTAAATGGAAACTGAGTCCTTCACATTGTTTCTTTATCTTTATATCCATGTATCATGATACTACTTTTAAATGTTAGGAAAAAAAAGTTTCCGCGAAAAAAAAAGAATATATTCATTATTTAGGAAAAGAATAAAATAAGTTATTTCCGATCACACAAATGTTGACGCCTTTATTGGAAAAGGCAATGCAACAACACCTAGAGGCTTTAGCTTTCATAGAACTTTCTAAAATCTAATCTTTCAAAAAATCACTACCATAACAATAGTTTGATTCTGGGTTTATTTTATTCTCTTCAGAGGAGTACATTTGTACATTCTTAATTCCAGGCTCAGTTACTGATTTAATGCATACGTGTGGCTATCATAAAAAATTGCGACTTTTTTTGCAGCTTTGTGTACAGGAAAACTATCGGAACAACCCTTTTCACAACTTCCGGCACTGCTTCTGTGTAACGCAGATGATGTACGGAATGATCCACCTATGTAAACTGTGGGAAAAGATGTCACGTGAGGATCTCGGCGTGCTGCTGACGTCATGCATATGTCACGATCTTGATCATCCGGGTTATAATAATACGTAATTATGTTACCCTTTTCCTATTCTGTTACTGTTGCACTCATGTCATTTCCGTCTATTCAAACTCCAATTATAACGGCTTCGGAACGACATATTGTACTTTCGAGTTGATGCTGGATATCACATAGGACAATTCATCACCTTTCCCTACCCTCGTTTCATCGATGTTGAGTCTGTATTACATTTCTATAAACATTTGTTATTTCAAATGATGTATTGCTCTGGCAAGGTCTCTAAACTCTCACCATCATATGTTAAGAATGCCCCTTCAAACACGAAAGACATTCAATAAAAATGTATTTACTGAGCAGTTCTATATTTGAAGTATATTCCTTGTTACTTACCCTATAAATAAACCATTTTCTTGTGACATTCTTACTGAAGTATAACTTATTTCTTTTTATTTTTTGTTTATTTTACTTATGATAAACATTTTGGTGGATTATATGAAGTCAGTTAGATTTTCCTGAATGGGAGACTATTGCATAATAAGGCCTATTACAATTCCAGCGTTTGTTATTTTCAGCTACCAAATCAACGCACGAACAGAGTTGGCCATTCGTTACAATGATATATCTCCCTTGGAAAACCACCATTGTGCGGTAGCATTCAAAATACTCTCGAATCCAGAGTGCAATATATTTGCTAATACAGATAAAGACGTTTACAAACGGATACGAGCTGTAAGTAGTCCAGTCACTGATATTGATACGTAATTCAAACAAAATCCATAAAAATGATTATGACTAAAATATATCCTATACAGGTTATGATATCATTTAGTTTGATTTTCTCAGTTCCAACTTTATTCAGGGCATTGCTAAAATAGAAATGAAATTAAAATGAAACGAAACGAAATCACTTTTGTTTTATTTGTTTCGCTCGTTTCGTTTAGATTATATTAGCATGCATTTGTGATAAATTTTTATCAACTAGCCAATTATGTTTTTTATATAATATCAGTTTCTCTTTGACAGTAGGCCTAATTGGCACGCGTATATGTTCATTGCTTTTGGCACAACTGTGTTAGCAAACACAACAACTTACATGCATAGATTTAATTTGAATATTCAGAAAAAAAGAAGATATTTCAATACATAAATCGTAGTTCACATCTATGTTTCTATGTTTGTTTAATTTGCAGTGAGCTGCTAATATGTTCTCATGGTTCGATGATTCGATTAAATAAAACTTTAAATTACAAAAGTACTTTTATTTCTAAAGGAGGAGCGAAATTAAATGAACGAAGCAGAAGCAACGAAATAGAAACGAAACGAAATGAAAAGGCGTTCGTTTCACTTTTTGTATTTCATTTTATTTGTATTTTGTATTTCGGTTTTATTGTAAAAGTGCTTATTTCGTGCAATCAAATTTTAGCGTATTCGCAATTTTGAACAAATAAGCGCAACGATGAACTCGCGCTAATATTGCAATAAGCGATTCATATTTACCCGCAATATAGCTGGTGCTAAAACGCGCTAAAAGATTACCACTTAAAACTTGTATTTTTCAGTACTCAAGCATAATTTGATTTCCTTTATTTCTTTTGAAATGTCCGCACTACTGGCTCCAAGATTGGTTAGAGTTAACAAGTGTTCAATGAAAAACATTAGTATTCAAAGAAAAATTGACAGTCATAAATGTCAATCTGACCTTTATTAACACACCTACCTCTTTGAAATCTGACCTTTATTAACACACTTACCTCTGTGAAATCTGACCTATATTAACACACCTACCTCTGTGAAATCTGACGTGTATTAACACAACTACCGCTGTTAAATCTGACCTGGCCCCTAGTACTGCAGGAAATGACGATTGACGAAGTAGGTGTGTGAAACGCTTTTATTCAAATACTGTTGTAATATGACATTTCAAGACGATATATAGATACTGTATTCCATGAATAATTCGCCCGTTTAATTTTCATTTTCGTCCATGAACAAGGAGGGAGAATTTAAGAAAAACATTATACGACGAATAAATATATTCGGAACGATGTACTGGCTATTTTAAACTGATACTGAACTTGTGTTTTATGACGAATAAATGTATTCGAAATTTTCTACCACAGGTAATTTAACACCAGGTACTGGGCATATATTTCACAACAAATATATTTATTCGGAATTTTGTACCCTCAGGGAATTCGATGCTGATACTGGTCGTATATTTCACGACGAATAAACCAATTCGGAATTTTTAACCCCAATGATTATAAACTTATATTGGAATTATAATTCATGACGGTTAAATTTATTCGGAACTTTGTACCCCATGGAATTCTATACTGGGCTTACATTTCACGACGAATAAATCTATTCGGAACTTTCTACCCTCAGGCTATGACTATGTTGATTCTTGCCAGTGACATGGCACGTCACGGAGAAATTATGGAATGTTTCAAGGCTAAGATAGAGCTAGGCTTTGACTTCCACGATAAAGAGCAGATGGAAACGGTAACTGCTAAGATAGTTGTTATATATATATATATACACATATTTTTGTGCATTGGCAACAAACCTTTGGAACACTCACTGATTTTTGCGAATAATTTAGACAGATAGACAATGTGACTTCATAAAAAAAGATTTACAAATCATTATAATATCATTATATTTATCGTTATTTACTTTTTGGATAAAAAAAATTGAAGAGGCTATTTGTTAATTTGTAGTCTGATTATTATACACGTGAGTTTCCAGGGTTGGGAATGTTCGATCGTCTGTGTGTCAAACGGACTACTTCTTGTCTTATTAAAATGTTTGTTACTGTATATACCAGTAAAACTTCGTTATCTCGAATTAAGCATGAAAACATATGTAAATTGAAGTTCGAAATTCAACGATGCATATTATGTTAAAGATTCGAGATAAAAATGTTTTCTGGTAAGCTACTTTGTACTTAATTTATGTATTAAAATGTCCGTTCAAATTGAGGTTAAATAGGAAAAGTTCCATCTTGGGCATATAAAGTCCTTCGTAAATGTAAAATTCAAATAAAAGCTACGTTGCAAAGATGTATAAATAAAGATGCTGCCCTTTTGTATTTGTTCAGCGTGTTGAAGTTTCTGGTTTCCTAACTAAAAAGGGTACCTTGCCCTCTGGATCATTTGTATCAACAAAACATGTCAATTTTTCAACTCGTAGATTGAGAGTATAAACTTAATCCTTCAAAACTTACATCACTCAACTTCCTCCTTGAAAAACAATCTAGTGTAAGTATATGAAGTTTGTTGTTTGCACTGACCTCAATTTGAACGAAATTTGAAACGAGCTCATACTTGAACAAAAAAGAAAGGTAACATTACGTAATGTTTTGACTTAATCATTTTTACCTTTACAAATTCTTAAGTTATCGATGCCGATAAAACTATTGTCAAGGTTAATTGTAAAAAATGCGTCCGTTTGGTTTTATTTGGAGTTAAATTCTAAATGTTACACAAACCAGTAACGGATATGACAACCGTTTGCAAGGTAAACAATATTGTAGCGCCTTCACATGTCATAGGCCGCCCTATATCGAGGAGAGACGCTGCTCAAGCTTTAAGGCAGCTCCTGCAGATTTCACCACCAATGCGTCTAACAACTACACGTTATTCTGCTGCAGAGCAGTCTGCTGACGCGACAGGTAAGCGCTGGCCCATTATCTGGCTGGAAAATGGCGTCAATGTCATTGCTTCTTAAGAATGGTAAAACCACTAATCTTCGTCCCGATATCGAATGCACTGCCGCCTCCGAAATGCTCTCGTTCTGCGACACAGTGTTTCTCTAAACTCTCCCATTTTCGAATCCAAACTCTGTGCCTTTAATCACTGCGTTATAGACAAATACGTTACTCGTACGAATATTGGTCAATTGGCGGAAGACCCAACGGATCTGAACCCAGGTCCAGTCACGACGATTATTACAGTAACATCATAACACAATATGTGTAATGTAGGGATGCTGAGCTTTTAATTGGTAGGTTCTCAATCTAAGATGTTGCAGACTGTTTGAACAGACACACTTGTCTTATTTGCTGCTGCCTCGATTGCGCAAATGTATTAATCAAATATGACGGTCATTGTCATATGACAGTCATTGTAGGGTTAACCGCTTCCGGGTCAATCGGAGGTTGACTTACTTTAATTGCTTAAATTTGCTTAAATTTAAATGCTATTCCCGTCGACTTCGAGTCATTCCAGACTGAGTCATGCATTTTGTCCTTTCCTCTGTATTTTTCACAGCCTACGCGTAACAAATAAGGTTGATAAATAGCAAAGATTTGTTGAATTCGAAGTACTGAAAGCCTAAGGAACCGGTGTTAGCTAGGCTTTTTATGTGCAATTCATGTGGAGATGCAAATTAGCCGCGGAAAACCTCCCGAAATCATACCGTTAATACACTTTCAAACTTGAATGATTTTGGTAACCCCGTGGGTTTTTCGTATTAACAATTTTCCGATAATGCCAAAACATTGCCTTTCTTTTTTGTTGAGTGTATGTGGACAGAGATGCTAGCTCTTTCACTCGTCATCTGATGTGTTTATGTTGTCTTATGAAGGAGATGCTGATTCTAATACTCGCTACTGACATGGCCAAACACAAGGATATCGTGGAAAAACTTAGATCAATAATACCCATCATTGATTACAACGACCCTGATCATGTTCAGGCGGTAAATTTTACCAACACAGGATATATCTATATCACCTTTTCCTCTTTAAGTTGAAATTTGATTTTTTAAAGTGAACCTTTTATTTTTAATTTGTGGTTTTTTTCTTATTTCCAAACCTTTCACCTATCCCTTTTGGTGAAAAATATTAGTTGACGTAGCAAAAAGTAGTTTGTTTTGTTCACTATCCCGAGTTCGCAAAGATTCGTGCTTGGAAGTTTTCTTGGTTTTGACATTCCAACCGTTGAAGTATGAAAAAAAATCAAACATGATTATCGGTACGCTTAATTATATATGTTATCTTGCAAAGAATAACATTAATTCATTGTAGTTTGCTTGACAGTGAATGAATGTGACAAATTTGCAGAATCTCAAAATTCTGAATTTATTTCTAAAGGGTATAGCTGTTCCTGAAATGTTCGTATTCATAAGATACAGCTTACTGAAAATTGATGTTTTTCCTGAGAATCAGTCACAGTTTTAATACTTCTTAGTTGATAATTTTGAGACTTTAATTGCAAATTAATGTATAAAGAAAATACTAAATGAATACTTATAAAAACTTAAAGCTAAGATAACTATTATTTAAAGTATGCAGTATTTTTTTCACGACAATAACAATAATCTTTGAAATATTAGATATTATGCTAAGTATGTTCATTATATTAGGATGCATACAAATATAAGATTTATGGGGCAAGTATGTCTTGACGTCCTAATGAAGGACACTAACTTTCAACTGCATACTAAAAAGCATTTTCCTATGTAATTTAAAGTTTTAAGTAAACACAAAACCGACGAATTCTCCAAAGTTCGAAAATTTTTAATTTTATTGATCAGCCCTTCCTTAATCTTCGTTATCATGTTTCGCCTCGATGCTGTATCTAGTCTGATGTATATGTTGTCGTCTTGTTCTTCGTTAAATGTTTTGTATATCATGTATGTCCTTATCTGGAATTTGATTTCTATGATTTGTAATTTAATTCTGCATGTATTATTTTATGTGTTATAAATATAGATTTATTGATTTTTAGTCTAGTTTTGGTTTGATGTAGCAGATATTACATTTATATATATGTATTGGGTATTTGGCGCTTTACATGTAGGAGATAAGTGTTGTATACTTTATGTGAACAAGATGAATGTCAATGTTTTAGTATATTTGATGTATTGATAAATTAATGTCGATATTTACGATATATTTGCTGTGTTGACGGATTTACCTCAATATAAATGGTATATTTGATAGGTTGGTAAATATATGTCAATATTTACGGTATATTTGATAGGTTGGTAAATATATGTCAATATTTACGGTATATTTGATAGGTTGGTAAATATATGTCAATATTTACGGTATATTTAATAGGTTGGTAAATATATGTCAATATTCATGGTATATTTGATATGTTGGTAAATGTATGTCAATATATGTGGTATATATGATGGGGTGGCAAATTAATGTTGATGTTTATGGTATATTTGTTTTGAAGGTAGATTTTGCTACATATGGACAGTATAATTGGCTTATTTAAATATTCAAATAGATATTTGAGGTAAATTGAATATGTTAGAAGATTTAGGTTAATTAAAATAACTGATGCAAGTTCATATGACAGGGTTCAAAACCAAAGTAAAAAAAATACTGTTACTATTTATAGAAAACCACCCAGAAATTCAGTGACTCCAATACAGCGACTTTAGTTCTTAAAAGAATTTGATCACTAGCACCTCAGATAACAACGTGTATCAGTAATACCAGTCAACGTCAAAGTCACTGTTACTATTTATAGAAAATTCACCTAAGATGAGTTTGTGTTACAGGATTTGAGGGTAAAATCAAGACTATTATTATTCTTTATCAAAATCCATCGACAAAATTGGAGATAGAATTCTAGCGTCAGTAATCCTGTATTTCAACCAAAATTCCAGCAAGTGTCAGATACCCGGGCCATGTTGATTCATTAAATTCGTGGACATAGAGTAACCTTGGGATTCAGCAAAAATTAAATTACCTTAAAAATTGGTGTTTTACAGACATCAATGTTTTATTATGTTTAATCTGTAGCAAGTAGGTTAAAGTAAGGTAAATGCGACTGTTAGTGTCTTGTTCACTAGTATTTGCTACTAAAAGTAGACCGTAAATGAATGCTAATTCTATTTAATGCTTTGTTACCTAGCTGAAGATGGTGTTGATAAAATGTTGCGATATCTCAAACGAGGTACGCCCAATGGAGGTATCAGACCCTTGGGTGGACTGCCTGCTGGAGGAGTATTTCAACCAGGTAAGACCACTGACATAAAGGGGTACTTATAGAAAGTGGAGTTGCGTTTTCAGTCAGAGTACTTTTCAGAGGGTCTCATTGAATTATCTTATTGAGAAACATTCTATTTCATGTGCGACGTGTTTTATGCCTGTTGGTTCATTATGATAATATTAAAATAGACTGTATTTCATGAGGATTTAAGCCGAGGCTAATCTTCCACAGAGTCTTCTTGTTAGTAAAACATGGTATATGTTACAATACAGCATAATTATAAGATTTTCATGAATTTATGAGAATTATTAAGAATATCACAGAATGTACAAAAATTCGTGCAAATAGGTATATCATTAAAGGACAATTTGTCTATTATACATACATACTAATATAGTAAAGTGTTAAAAATAGTTACACATAAATATACCATAGAGTAGACATTACTGGTTTTGGAAAATATAATCTAAAAATTAGTTCGTTAAGAGCTCAAGTAAAAGCACACTAGTTTTAGTTTTGGTTTCATTTGGAAGTTTGTTCCATTCCTGACAACCAGATACATAAACATGTTTCCAATAATAATTTGTCTTGTGTTTTGGAACCAATACATTTTTACGAGATATGTCCCTTATAGACCGCTGATGAACATTTTCAGTCAAAATAAAATCACTGGGAAGATGGTACCATACCATTTACACATTTATATGTCATAATTGACATTTTTAACTGATATTTTGAAACATCTGCTGAAGGAGCAACATATGACTTCTTTAAACTCAAATCTGACAGCACATTTTGAGCTTTTGACAGTTTGTCTTGAGAAGCTTCTGTAATTCCAGGCTAGACAGTATTACAGTACACGAAATGAGGAAAAACAGAAGCACTGTTAAATTTCAAGCGACCTTCTATTGGTAAAAATTGGCGAATACGCCGGAGTAATCCTAAACCTTGTTTTTTGGAAACAACAGAGAAAAAATGCGCTGACTAGGATAAACTGTCATCACTTTTTTAGCACCAAGTAATTTTTCACCTTTCCCTTAGTAGAAAATTGAGATCGTCATAATGATATGACTATAATTAATGTTATGGTGTGAAAACTTAGTTCCAAATGAGTATTTTATAACCAAATACACAGGATAATGGTCACTGAGTCCAATTACTTCCACTTTAACAGTTCCTGTGCATTCTGGTGCTGAAGCATACATTCTATATATATGGTCAGACTGTTTGTTTTTAGCAACACATGAAGACTCCTAAATCATTTGGTATAAATAAAAATCTAATATTTGGTCCAGGAACGTATGGGTATCACAATAAAAAAAATAATGTTAAATTTTCCCATGAGTCCAGTATTGACCCGTTGTTGTATACCTAATTCTCATTTTGAGAACGTGACATCATTAATTTCTAGATTGACTAAGGTCAATGAAATGGGTGACGCTCACTTTCAGGACATCTGGTCTTATTCTCCTTGTTCTTTCTCGGAGCCTCCATGTAAATCTTTCTTTTGTCCTAGTTTTATTGAACTTGAGATTGCATTATGACTTTGTTGACATGATGGTATTTTCTTGTTGTTTATTGTAGTGGTTACCTTTCAGAGATTGGTTGGAACTGAGCAGAGAATGTTCTCTTCCGTATAGTTGACACTATTTTTCTTGTGTGCAGACACGGGAGCTTTTTATTACAAAATTCAGAGTTTTTTTTTTACTTATACAAATAAAATGTTATCCGATTTTATGTCTTATTCAGTCTGACAGGGAGAAAATGGAGGGACTTCCGGTAGCTCCTTTCATGGACAGAGAAAAGGTGACGAAACCTACGGCACAGATCGGGTTTATCAAATTCGTACTTATACCCATGTTTGAGACGGTAGCTCAGGTAAGTAAAATGCAGTGATATTAAGTTTACCCTTCCAATTTCTATCTTCACACTGGAATTTACTTATCTTAGTTTCATAGCCACCAAATATCATACAAATGACATGTGAATAGCACATTTTAATATTTCACTTAGATACGGTAGAGTCATCACACAGCTGTTTGGTATTTCTGTCAGTTTTGTGTCGTTTGTGTTAAGTAGATCTTTCAATTATCTTTTAAGTGAAATTGTTGTGTTAGTATTTTTGAAATGATTCCTATACCTGTTTGCTTGTCATTAAACCTGAGATCAGAGTCACTGATAATTGTCTCGATGATCTCGATTGAGCAATAACTAGTAAGCGCTACAGTACCAAAAGAAAGGCAAAGTAAATGTAGAACTTTCCTTTCCTTCATAGTAACCTACCCGTTTTGAAGACTTTATAACGTTCCGTTAATGAGAGTGAGGGTTTTGTAACTTATGATTTTGCTAATTCCTTTTTGTCATCTACTTCACAGCTTTTTCCCATCATAGACAGAACGATGGTTGAGCCTCTTAGAATCGCGCGAGATCGGTACGAGAATATGAAGGAAAAGACTTCGGCACCTGCTGTAAGTATTATGTCAATGCAATGCCTACCTGAATGAAGGTAACGATGATAGTACAAATCTAGAACGGATATCAAAGTTAAATATATTTTTGAATAGGTTATAAATCTTTCGAGTGTAAATACATTTCTTGGATATGCCTTTTTCCTATTAAATGATATCAAAAATTTATTTTGTTTGTTTATCGAATTTTAGACAACTGCAAAAAAAGAAGACTCGTAGCAGGCATATGCATTTGGTGTCATGTTCAGACTGAGGCTCTCAGGACGACTGGTGGGGTGCTACTGTGATGGAAAATCTTTGTAAAATAAAATACATAATATTTTCTCCACAATTATCATTCCAATTATTGTACATCGTTTTGTATTCCCAATATTGATTGTAAAAAATAACTTATTAAATGTTTGTTACTTGAAAAGGGAGACAACCCCCACCCCATTCGCTTTGTATCTAAATTACGGATTGCATTTGTTTCTCAATGCTCTGATGATAATGTTTGTTAAGTTAGATTATCATGAATATGTGAATGGTGTCCCATATAAATATATTTATATAAACGAATATTTAGTTAATTTTAATACGTAAATATAACTAGCTAAGCAATGTTTACGAGTAAATCTAACATATGTTGCTTATCTTCTGTATGAAATAGTTAAGAAATGATTTTGTGATACCATAATTAACATAAAACACACATTGTGCTTTTTTGTTGTTCGTGTTGGAGAGAAATGTTTTTTACAGTGGAATATTGTCATTTATCCTTTCACTTTTAAATTAACTTTTGTAATTATATCTTCCTTTGAGAAGATAAACACTTGCTATTCATTGAACTGTATTTTCTATTTCGTTTTTATTTTGTTGAATACTCCTTGAATGGGGACTGCAGAATACTAGGTTGCTTCGCTACATATTTACGTTAATGTAATATACGCAATAAAGGGCAAATCTTGAAACTTATGGGCAGAAACGGAAAAAAATTCGTTAAATAACCCATCATTTGTCAAATTCGAGTCAATTATCACTGCCGTAAAAAATGAAAAAGAAAAAAACTATAAAAATGACACAAAACGATTTCACATAATAAACTAGCAATATTTTGTAGAATGACAGATATATTCAACAAGTCTTATTTGATCGTTCTGAATACAGTTTGTTTTGTAAAAGAAAAAAAATCACTTTATTGAAAAAAAAATTGTTAATTCCCTTAATGTGGTTTCAACAAAATTATCACTTCCTTTGCATGAGAAAGGATGCGTCATATTTTGTTAAAGACTTGTTTTTTTTTAGTACAAGTTAGTTTGTTTTAGGTTTGCCGTTGTTTATTTTTGTATCCTCCTGAACATGTAACACTTAATGTGTCGAACGTTGGTTAACAAAATTAAAAAGCGTTAAATATGCACACAAAACAGGAAATAATGTAATGTTAATTGTTAATTATTGTTTATTTTAGCAACTTCTTTTAAGGACAATGTAAAATTGGTTATTTTCTAGTCGTTTTATTGACGCTATTTTCGAGAATGGAATAAAATCGTGCGAGATAGATACAGTGAAAAACAAAATTTTCCTCGTTTGAGGAACTTGACATTACTTGGAAAATCTAAAATTTACATGGCAAGTGTAGTTGATGAAGCAGAAGACGCTTACTCTTCCAGAACACCTGATCTGATTCTTTTGGTGGCTATTTTCAGATGTCGTTATAATTTCTTATGTTCATATTTGTCCTAGGTATATTGTATTTAAGTTTGGATTGTGTTTTCTTTGCTATGTTGGTCTGTTTTTTGTAATTCTTGACAAAGAAAATTATGATCTGACACTTGGTCTTTTTGCTTTAAACTTTTGCTGAAACCACGAGTATTAGAACCTTCAAAAATAAAATAGTATCTGTAACAACTCACATTTTAATCCTGTAGGTGTGCCTTACGATTTACTCTGTAGACACTGTACAGTAATCAATTTTCGTGGGAGATTTATTTTCAGTGATTTCATGTGTACTCCTAATCTACGAATTCATATGTCCACGATCGTTTGAAGTCCATGTTAGTTTATTTGTTGAACATTATTTATCAAGAAATCAAATGTTCCCTCTTTTGAAACCCTTCAATATTTAAACCGTATAAGATATTATTTCACAGTTTGTACTCTTCCGTTGAGAACCGTTTGGCAGGGACTAAATTTATGTGTTATAATTTTTGCTAGAAAGGTCAGCAATTGGATGTCATCTGTCAACTTCACAAATCACATAATCTCCTGAATTTCGCTCTGGCGATTTATCTGCAAAATATTTAATTTTTGTGAGTGTTTCTTCTCTTCTTTATTCATTGATTTCTTTAACCATAATCGCTAAAGTGTTAAAATTAAAGAAAACAAAAATTTAAGTATCAATTTATTTTTTGAGTACAGTTCATCTACAAAATCAAGTTCCCACGAAAAGGTATTGGTTGAAAAAAAAACACGACCTTTGAGCTCCAAGAAAATATATGATTCAACAGTATGCTAATTTGGAGGTGTTTTCAGTACCATTTTAAGTTCTATAGTAAACCTTTATTATTTGAATGACAACAAATTCTCAATAAGTTTCTAATGATTTTTTTTCGTAAATATGTATCATTCTGTATACTTGTTTGTAGAAAAAAATGACGTTTGAAAGACAAAAAAAAAATGTTTAATTTATTGTTGTATATTAAAGATACCAAAGATTTCAATACTAGATAAGCCAACATGCATAGATTATAACGAGTTTTATAATTTGAAGTCAAAAATAAGACAGAGGGTAAATAGGTACTTCAATATTTTGTTTGTGATTGTAACGATTTTAATTTAGTTAGTAAGTTTCACAAATTCATTTCCAAGATTGAATTATTTTGACAACGTTGTTCTAGTCATCTTTAATTGCAACACAAACATTATTTTTTCCTTTCGAGTACAAGACAAATATACTTTTTTCCTTTAGAAAGTTTCAACCCGGTAACAGTTACATCTAGTAGTTTACTTTTTACACATGCACGTGCATCACTGACGTTATAAAAGCTAGAATGGATTGCTAGTCGTAGTGGTTCTACTTCCTGCTTGGCTTCAGCGTCGAATGAATGATATTCAAATCAAGTTTCAGCGACAGCAGCCTTGTATAGAAAGAGTTTACACAGGCAGGTAACGACAAAAAGTCAAAATTGTTCTTTATGTTTCAAATAGTGCCTTTCAATTACCTGTTTATGTAAACCATCAGGCACCTTTGACTCGTATCAGAAATGACGAGAAGTCTGGAATATTAGGTATATATTGTACCTAAAGCTACATTCTTAACAAAAAAGGTGCTAGTCACTTGTGTGTCTTTTGTACATGCCTTTTACCTTCAGCGCATAGAAACCTATATAGATGATCAATTTCGTTTACCGGTTTTTTTGGTTTTTTGTTTTGTTTACAGACCTTTTGATATTGTCTTGCTCAGAATGAAAATACAATAGACCATATCACGTGGTATAGATAGAAATATATAATTAACAAAATATCTATTGACATATTTGTACTATTTGTGACGTCACATATTTTACAAGTCATTAACAATCTGTACAACATATACATAACTCTCTTTGTTACTGAGTTTTACGATAAGAGCACATGAAATGATAAGGCTTCTGTTAAAGTCTTCTACAAATTCCCACCACTGTTACTGAGAAATCAGTATGGAAATGTCTGTGTACAGATAGTTTTAAGATCTTGTGAACTAGGTGGCTTGGTCTCGATACATGTAGAAGTGTTCCGAAGACTTATTTGTATAAAACTAGTTTTCGTATATTTTCGGAACATCCTTGTGTAGGAGCATTGCTCAGAACATCTGTGTTTTTTTTCTTGTTTTCGGTGACTTTCGTGCATGTGTATATAAATACACATGTTAAAAGAACTTGACACACTGTTTCTACACTTCTCAAGGCCGTTTGGCATTATTTTTCACCATTGCTAATCAGGCATCAAATTACATTAGCCTATGGAATCACAGAGTGGGAGTAAACCGCTGTAACCGTTCAAAAGCTTACGTGATGACGTGTGCCACCTCATACCGTATTAAACCCAACTTGGGGTGTATGGTTGAAAGGTGAGTGCGTTATTTATGCGCTAACAGGGCCGTTTTTTGTCATAGACTCAATGTGTTTTACAAATGTCATATATTTTGCTGTATGCGTCATTAGAACATGTGTTACATCTGTCATCACTTCTTGTGTAAACATTGTGCTATACGTGTTAAAATATCAGTGATATGTCATACGTAAAAGTATCTAGTCAGCGCCTGTCAAAATAGAAAAAAAAATTATTTAGAAATAATTTGTAGACCATCAAAAGACAACAAAATTGACACTTTATCTCATACATTAGTTGTTATAATGACTATTGTATGTGGGGTAAGCATATGATGTCTCCAGTCACGTGACGTAATTACGATTAAAATAGATACAATGTTCGTGACTCGGTTGGTAACGACGGCAAGATAGATATAATGTATGTTTCTCCATAGGTGATGACGTCACAATAGGTGAATTATAACGCGTCTTGTTTGGTAATGACGTCATTGAATGTATAATGTAATGAGAATTTTTAAATAATACGATATTAGTGCGTATTTTTGTGATATAATGAAGTTGTTTTTTCTCGTTAATTTGTTAATGATAGTGCAACTGATATCTTTTAATGAGTACCATAAGATAATTAATTTTCGTGGGAATTTTATTTTATTAATTTCGTGTGAACATTTAATCCACGAATTTATATGCCCACGAAGTTATAAATATATAACAAATAACATAAGTTTGATCACTTGTCGGTTTCATTGAGTAAAATTTATCTGCGAAATCAATCACCAACCAATATGCTCGTTTTTATAAAACAACAAAATTTGAGCTCAACGAAAATTTATGATATTTCTGCAGATCAATAAATAAATTTATGACGGAATACTGAAAGAAATGACTGAAATTTTTACTGTTAAAAATTCTCGATGACGACAGTGTTATATTGTATATGTCAACTTATCACAACTGTTTTGTAAATAAACTAGATTTTTGATGTTTAGCAAAATAATTCTTACTCCAGCGTCGTTTGATATTGACAACATTTGGCTTTGAATGAAAACTAAGCTGAAGCTTTCTACGTTATTTCATCCTCGACTCGCTTCAGACAAAACACAATGAAAACACTGTTCTATACCGTGTAAAATATTATCTTGTACTTTT